CACTGATCTATAGAGTCAACAGTCCTACAAAGATATCAATACCACGATTAGTTTTAACAATATGCAACCACTTTATATTGACATAAAAATAGGAGTTCAAAACCGCCTAGGTGTATTATTGCTGCAAATTTAAACCAGAGAAAGCATTGACGCGCTATCGCACACAAGGGACCGTCTGACAATTCCACCGACTGGGTTAAAACGTCCAATGTATTTTAATTTTTCATGTTCCAACGGTTGTAGTACGTTGCTAGATACAAGACTAACTTACTACAGGTTAGATTTTGCCAATATCTCCCTTACGGTATGTACAGTACACAAATATCTTTTTAAAAAACTACAGTAATTAACCAAAAGGGTTTTTTCAGGTTCCACTGGTTGTAGTACGTTGCTGGTTACAAGACTGACTTACATGTGAAATTTTGCCAATATCTCCCTTACTGTAGCCTATGCACCATTCACAATTATTTAAAACAAAACAAACATACAACATTTGGAACACGAAAAACCCCATTTTGGTGAATGACTGTAATTTTTTTTCTTAAAAAATATTTGTGTACATACTTGGAGAAAGTATTGTCTAAGGAGAGTTATTGGCAATATATATTTAGTCAGTTTGAGTAAATTATTCATTTACTGTAAACATTAATTTGAATAAATTAATATAGAATATCAAACCTAAAACTACCACACTTGGTTTTCTATGGGAGAAAAAAATGGTTTGGTGAAACTTTGTGGGTTGTGGGCTCATATTCTCATACATACAAAATGTGTCTAGAGGGTGGGACTTTGTGCGTTTTGGTTAGAGAAAGTATTTTGGCACTGGAGGGCATGCAAAAGCTTCTCAAGACAAGATCGGGCATAGGAGGAGATCATCCCAGATGCAATGGAAACGCCCTCTGCTGTTCTTATCCAAAGTCAAGGCTTGTTTATGTGCATGTTAGAGGGAGGATGGAAAATAGTATGGAGTATTTTTCTCATAAACTTACACATTTTGGCCTTGACATTGTATGAGATTTTACAGTGAATAGTAACATTTATACAGTATAATATTATAATAGATCAAACAATAATATATGCCCCCTGGGGCAAGATGACCCCCTGACCTGAAGGTGTGAAATCTTACGCCCCTACCATACTGTGATGATGCCCTGTCCGGCCGGAGCGATGATTCAAAAACATGAAAACCCATTATAAACGAGGCATTCGTTGCATCCAGTGGGGACATAATTATGGATTATAATGACTTATACTGTCGTTTTACGCATTGTGTTGCATCGCGCCACGTAAACATAAAACCATGTCTGCATTTGTAATCGGAGAAATTACAAACAACAAGCACTACTCTACATTGCCCAAAAAACAAGCCCTACTCTACACTGTCCAAAAAACTTGCTTTAAATATAAAATTATTGGACTTCGTTTTGTACTGTGAGGTAAATTTGCAGATGGTCCCTAAAGCAGCCTAGGCAAATATGCAGCGAATATCAAACATAAAACTACCACACTTGGTTTTCTATGGGAGAAAAAAATGGTTTGGTGAAACTTTGTGGGTTGTGGGCTCATATTCTCATACATACAAAATGTGTCTACTCACGGTGGAGGCCGTTAAGGATCTGCGCGCGGCGACGAAGCGAGCGGCCCAGGCCGTGGGTAAGGTCATGGGTTTTATGGTCGTCCTTCAGAGACACCTATGGTTAAACCTGGCTGACCTCAAAGATGCTGACCGTAAAGTGCTGCTGAACGCTCCTGTGACTCCCACCGGCCTCTTCGGTGATGCCGTAGAGTCCATTATTAGAGAAGGGTATAACTGCAGCCTGGAGATCTCCAAATGGGGGTGGGAACTCCAAAACGGGATGGGAGCTCCAAAATAGGGCGTGGCTTCCTCCCATTGATGGACAGGCACATGACACGCATGCGCATTTTTTTCCCCCAATCGACTTCAGTGCAAACTCCACCCCACAGCTCATTCTAAAGATTTTATTGGTTGTATCAATTAAAGTGTTGATTTTCTACACTATGCTACAAAAATGCTAACCCCTCCGTAACTCCCCAACCGGACCTCACCGGACAATGGCACCTTTTTAGTTACACCCAGCGTGTGGAGACCCCGCCCCATTTTGGAGGTTCTGCCCACTTTTAGAGTTCACGCCCCATTTTGGAGAGCTCCAGTCTGCAGTTATGGTGCAACTCGTATTTACGAGTTGAATGCACATGAACGCCACCACAAAGTCGTTATTACGAGTGGGA